CACCTACTTGGCAGTTAGAAGCACACAATGCTTGCACTTGTGACAGGTACACTTTACAATAGATTCCAGCTCTGCGGGGGCGGGTTTTAACTGATGCACTGGCGAAACCTTTTTGTTTTTACACTGAAGATGAAACGTCTCAAGACGGGGGGGCCCCGTCTGCCGCTTCTACTAAAGCCGGGATGCACCCAAACACTGAACTGGCCAGTCCAGCTCCACACTTAAAGGTTCGAGGTGACCTCGCTTGGCCGTTCATCACGAACATATTGCTTTTGGCTGAGCTGTAAAGCTTCTGTGGCATACATGGCGCTTGCCTTGGGCGGTTCTCCTGCTGTACATGGATTCGTTGGAGACACGCTATTGTAACTGATCTTGCCACTTTTAATCTACTTTAGCCCCTTGTGCCCTCTGAGAAAATGCCTCGGGGTGGGGGTGTTGGCACACACAAGGAGACATCACGTGACCAATGGACGACAACCACCGCGCCGCCGCCCTCTACTGGCCTGGTGCATCGCGGGGGGATAACCTCGTCAATCTTTTTGGATTGTTTTAGGAGGAGCCCCAGGCCATTCCCAGCCAAGGACATTGTTACTCTACATAATACCTGCTGATGTTATTGCTAGCTGTGTCTATCCATAGATTCTATATAGGTGGATGAAAAAAACAAAACATTTATATTTTGTAACGAATGATAAATGAATTCTCTTTACAAAGTCTAAAACTGGTGGTGGGTTACTGCAGCGGGAACCCCATGCGTGTATGTACATATCTATATACTGTATATTCCCCAGCGAGCGTTCCAAGGGCCGTTGTATAAATGATTTATTTTTTACAATAACCGACACATTATTGGTTGAAGTTGTTTTGTGTGTGGGGGGGCATTTATATCATGTGGAGGGACTGAAAAAGGGCTTTTAACTTAGGGGGTCTATTTCTGCATAGCGCTTCGTCCAGTGTAACTGCAAGTACATTCGTTGTGTGCAAATTACTCACAATGGGGCAAAATGTTCTTAGGCCATGGTCTCTTCTGGTCGAATGTTATTCACTATATGTTCTTTATAAATGAATAGGTTGAATGTGAATGGGGACAATACCACAGTATGGCCACTAGATGGCGCCGAGGGTCACAGAAAGAAATATATCTTGGTAACATGAGATACAATGTAACAATTCTAGAGAACGTTGGGAGGGAATTAGCAAAATGAATGTAACCATTGCTACTACTGTTATAAATGGAAGCCTAGGTGTATCTATAGTCCATAGTTTTTTGTGTCTGGAAGAGTTTAAACTAGGGATGCACCGATACCAAATACCAAAAGTCCCATTAAGAAACTGCGGCGAGGAGCCATCGCACGTGACTCGGCTTCCTGATTAGCTGGGACGCCGGCTTCATGCTGCCCCATCACCACGGGGTGAAGAAGCATGGATCCGACTTTCTGGACAATCAGGAAGCCAGGGGGCGGGTAATGACTCACCGCCCGGCTTCCTGATTGATTGGCTTCCCGACTAGGCAGGAAGATGGGCAGCAAGTGATTGCACGCCGCCCAGCTTCCCGATTGGCCAGAATACTGGCCCCTTGCTCCCTCACCAAGTGATGAGGGAGCATGGAGCCGGCTTCCCCATTGTCCTGATTTGCCGGAAAGCTGGCTCTATGCTCCCTCGTCACCAAGTGATGAGGGAGCATGGAGCCAGCCGGCCAATCAGGAATCCGGGCGGCGTGTAATGACTCACCACCCCGGTTCCCTGATACCAGAACTTCTGGTATTGGGATAAGTATCGGGAGCATTTGGGCGAGTACTCACCCAAAATACTCATTATCGTCACCAATACTGGTATCGGTATCTGTGCATCCCTAGTTTAAACCAGTCAGCGCTCTGTATCCCCCTTGGGGAGATTTTCTCCTCACTTCCTGGCCAAGAGACACAACAGGAAGCGAGAGAAAATATCTACAAAGTGAGAAAATATCCTCTTTTAGACAGCCAGTCACTATTCCTGTTCCAGTGACCATTGCAAACAAACTACCTGGGGGAAATCTCAGCGCGGTGGGCGGGATTCAGTGCCCACCCAGAACGGAAATGCTTTTTTACCGGAGCTGGCCTTCAATCCTGTAAAAGGTGCCCATACACCGCTCGATTCTCGTACGAGAATCGAACAGTGTGAACGAAGACGTGCGACCGTTTCTACTGTACGGTCGCACGTCTTTTGTCTAAGGAGCACGTTAGAAAACCAGCCGAGAATCGTACGATTTTCGGGTGGTTAGAACGGTGCTCGGGAGACAAAAGCCGAACGGGCCGGTGTGCGCACGCGCACACTGCCCGTTCAGCATTGCGGTCATCGGAAGCCCGCCCCTCAGGGGGGCGGGCTTGCGATGATCGAGAGTGCGATCTGCCTGTCCAAGATGGGCAGATCGTACGTTTTTTTAATCACTTTACAACCATCGCAAGACTAAGGTCTTGCGATGGTTGTACGGTGTATGGCCACCTTTAGAGAAGTCCAGAGACACATTGTATTTCTCAGATGACAAAGGAAAAAAAAAGGTAAAATATGAAAACAGCCCACTGGATACAGCAAGATCATTTATTTAAAATTTATACAATATACATAAAATATTCAGAGATTCAATCCAGGAAAGCATAGGAGCCCGCTGTACCCCCCAGGGTGACCTTTAAAGGGCCAGTGCCCCTTCGGTGCTCCCATAGCATTGTGCAGGTTTCGATATTTGGCAGGTTACAGCTGACATGCGGAAGCATAGCTGAAGCAAAACCGTCCTAAAATTCTGTATACACAAAATATATCCGAGATTAAATTCTAAACTGCTAAAAATCCACAATCAACCAGATGCTCCAGGAGGACATGTGCCGGGCTCGGCTGCCACGAGCGCCAATACCGGCTCTTCCTGCAGACACCTCGAGAAGGCCAGCAGATTCATGCAGTTCTATGTACAAAAAAAAAAGTCTTCACTGCTGTAACAAGGATGACGGGGGACTTCACAACCCACTTCTCTTCCGCGGGGGCCGGCCCGTAGAAAAGAGGGAGGAGTCAGCAGATAAACGTGCTGTAATGTATAACCTCCTCAGGTCATAGCAGCTATTATTCCCACTGCGATATTTATTAAATATACTTATATACAAATTTAACAGAAAATAAAACATTTTCTCTTATAAATTAACATTGGAAAGATTTGAAGAGAACCTGTTGTGCTGGACCAGGAAGGCGGTTTATCTCTCGGCCTAGCACCGGGCACATCAGATTTGAAGGGAGTGCCCAAGCGACATCATTGGCCTTGTGATCCTAACCAGCTGATCAGCACAACATTCTTATTTATATGTTGCCAACTTTCTAGAATGCAAGATGGCCACTACTACTACGCGAATGCCATTTTATGTTCTCAGTAGGCGGGGTTTTTAGGGGTTTCTAGAAGTCACCCGCTAAAAAATAAATAAAAAAATAAAAATAAAAATGGCAGCAGCTGAATGTTAAATACCATAAACCCCCACCGACAGATCTTGCCTGCTGGTACAACTCCAATATTCCAGTATTTCTCCCCGGGGGAGGGGCACAAGCAAGCTGGTTATATCCATAAAAGCTTTTTTTTTTATGTGTTTTGGTTCAGGAACCAGATTCGCCCTTCTAAGGCGGCGGGTTAGAACAATGATTGGTTGCTCCGCACAGCTCTTCAGGCACAAAGACCACTCTGCAAGGAGCCATTGTGTGCATTGTAACAAAAGCAGCCAAATCGGATTTCAGTAAGGCTACCAGGAGAGGATCTCCTGATTGGGTGTCGGTCGGGGGTTACTACACTTTGCGCCTTAGAAGGGACCGGTATGTCTGCGGGAGAAGCAGAACCGATCAGGTGAACGGCTGTGCAAAGTCATAGAAAATGTACAATGTGAACGTTTGCTTTATGAATTGCACGGCAACAAGCAGCAGACGGGGGCCGTCGCTGGCCGGCCATCCTGGTCACTTCTGCAGACGGCTAACCAGGTGAACTCACAGGCTGTATATAGTGCCTGCATAAGCTGAGGGGGAAGAGAAGATAAGACAAAGGGGTTGAGTTCACTCATCTGCCGGCTCTCCCGACTCCGTTCACCGGCGTACAAGGGCACAGAGGCAAAGGTTGGAGGCTCTTGCGGAAGGGTAGCCAGCGTCAGTCCACGAGGGGAGCAGAGCGGTCGTTTGTCATCGTGGGCTTCAATCGGACTTCAAGAAAGGGGTTTCTGTTGGGAAATAAGAGGCAAGTTGTACTTTTACCAACACTCGGGACCCTGTGACCAGGTTAAATTTGACCCAATAAGTGACACTTGTGGTTGGAGTCCAGTAGGCTGTGGCTCCTGTTAGATCCCACAGTCGGGGGATCTAAGGGTACCATCACTTTGGAGTCCCACACTTCCTTCTACACTGAGGGTGTTCCATCTTATTGTGCTACAATCTTCATAACATTGAAAAAGGTCCATGGATGATAGACACAGCAGGTGAGGTGCTCATTTTAACCATAAGGCTGGGTTCACACCTAGGCGTATCGAATATGAGCGTTTGGCGCGCGCGATTCGCGGTTAAAAAAAACGTGCGACAAATGTGCGTTTACGAGGGCTACTTGGCTGTATCCCAATGGAAACGCGTGACAAAAACGCCCCAAAGAAGCTCCTGTACTTCTTTGGGCGTAGGGCGTTTTGTAGCGCGTTCATACGGCCTGTAATACGCCCAGGTGGGAGCCATACCCATAGGAAATAATGGGATTCCGGTGTTTGAGCGGTTTGCAGAGCGTAGGAACGCGCTACAAAATGCCCAGGGTGTGAACCGGGCCTAAGTGTTCATCAGAACAGGGGTACTATAGACACGGCAAAAAGATTTAAAAGGATTTAAAAAGATTTAAAAGGGGGGGGGGGGGTTTGTAAGAACAGCTAGGGTGGCCACTCCAGGTGCTGGGGACAATTGATATTTCCTTCCATATCAAAGCTGTAGGAAAAGACTGGTGGGAAACTCCAAACATCCCCCCACACATATGAGAAATATTCAACTTACAATAAGCTTTCTATAGGGAATAGCAAATGTGCTGCATTGTATAAAACACAGCCAGGTCTATGGCACGCTCAAACATCTCCGCACACTTGGGTACGTACACCGATCCTCTATAATTAAGCTCCTACGCAGCAGCAGCAAACTCATTGGAATCCCCTCATGTTGCTACTTCAAGAAGCTGTACAAGCATCAGGTAACAATACTATTCAGAGTTCATTGTAACTGTCGCAGACAGAATTACATTCGATACCACACTTATCCTAGAATGGAAAAAGGTCAAGGTGCACTGATATTTATTGACATCGTCATTAACAATGTATTCTGGGCGTTTCTAGGTGTTAACTGCTCATTAAAATATGTATTAGGTATATTGTGAAATCAACATCAGATGAAAGTTGTGTCCTTGCCACAAAATAATTAATATCGGCGAGATAAAGCCTAAACAAAACCACGAGTTCCCAAACCGAGGATACAAAGAGAGAAAAAACACACGTTAGACTGAAGTGTGCTAAAGGGTGATATAAATTTAAGTGGTGCTCTAACGGAATGCTCCGAGTGTCCATATCTTATATATGTCAGTAACTCCATTCCGCTTCACAATACTGAGTGAGAGAGACAGATCGACCGACGCCGAGAGCTTCTCACCATCGGTCAGTCAGTCTCTCATGCCTCCCTCCCTCCTCTCAGCATCAGGCGGTCTGTCTCTCACTCTTTCCCCGCTCCTCCTCTGAGAGGG